AGTGTTTAGGGTTTATTAGGGTTTAGGGTTTAGTAGGGTTTAGGGTTTAGGGTGGATTAGGGTTTAGGGTTTTATGGTTTAGGGTTTATTAGGGTTTAGGGTTTAGGGTTTACTAGGGTTTAGGGTTTATTAGGGTTTAGGGTTTATTAGGGTTTAGGGTTTATTAGGGTTCATTAGGGTTTACTAGGGTTTAGGGTTTATTAGGGTTTAGGGTTTATTAGTGTTTAGGGTTTATTAGGGTTAGGGTTTATTAGGGTTTAGGGTTTATTAGGGTTTAGGGTTTATTAGGGTTTAGGGTTTATTAGGGTTTAGGGTTCATTAGGGTTTACTAGGGTTTAGGGTTTACTAGGGTTTAGGGTTTATTAGGGTTTAGGGTTTATTAGTGTTTAGGGTTTATTAGTGTTTAGGGTTTATTAGGGTTTAGGGTTTATTAGGGTTTAGGGTTTATTAGGGTTTAGGGTTTATTAGGGTTTAGGGTTTATTAGGGTTTAGGGTTTATTAGGGTTTATGGTTTATGGTTTAGGGTTGAGTAGGGTCTTAGCCTGCAGGTTTTCAGCTTGAAGCTTGCGGTGTGTGGGCTGCGGAAAACAGAAACGGTTCTTTCACGTGCACCTGGTTTTGCGACATCGAAAAGGCATACCCACGGGTCAGCCGTAACACCCCTTGGCAGTTCCTAGAACTCCACGGGGTGCCAGCAGACTTCATTCAAGTTTGCCGTTCTCCCGATGCTTCCAGACTCGGCGGGGAGTTGGACGCGGCTATTGCGGCAGCGGACTCTGCAGAGAACGGACCACTGTTTGCCGGCGTTCGGCTTACCCAGGCCAACATTGCGTCTCCTGGACATTCGTACCATGGATTGAAAATCCTGAAGGTGGGCAGGTCGACTCGAGTGGACTCGCTCGGGCGTCGTCGGCGTCCGGGAAGGCTTATCCGAGACGTATCAGCTGACACACGGCTTCCGCGAGGGTTGCCCGTTCTCCCCGGTCCTGTTCAACATGTATCATGCTGCAGCTTGAGGATTGCACAGAGAGCAAGCCAAGACGTCATGTCTAAGCTTGGCATGCTGCTGCCTGCCACGCAAATCCTTATCTCTTGTAGACCAACTCCGGAACCTCACTCTTCAATCCGCAGAAACACTGCACCAAAAGATCCCCAAACCCTGTATTCAACATTTCGGTTTCAAGCTCAAACTTGAGGACAAGCCCTAGACATCCTTACACGACACCCAAAAAGCGTCAGCATCCCAAACCTCTGAACTTTGATAGAAGCACCTTCCAGAACCCCCTCTAATGGCCCTCAGACAAGAGCCGACAAACAAGAATCTTAACAACCCTCAAGGAACAAATCACAACCCGATGTTCCCATACCCTAATACCATGCAAAACCCTACATCCCCAAAGCGCCCGTACAACAAAAGCGCACATTAACAAACTCGAGGCACCGGGTGGTAGTGCCGGCGGTCATGGAGCTTCAGCGACCCTCGGGGGTGTCTCGGAAAGCACGAAATGCCACTTTGTCTACGGCTTAGGCTTAGGCTGCAGAGTAGGAGTTTATCGGATTTTGCTTTATTCTTCTGAGGTTTCGGGGTCCGGGATTTTCGTAGGGTGAATGTAAAGGGTCTGGCAATGTTTAAACGGTTATGTAAGGACGTTGTCGGGGTTGGTTTGCAAGATTGCATCCTCTATGGTAGTTTCAGGGGATATGGGGTTTATGAATTGAGGGTGAGTTTGAAGGTTTGGCGGTTTCAGTATGCCTTCAGAGCTCAAGGGCTTTGGGGATTGATTTTATGGGGGATATACATATATATATATATGTATTATAGTAAGAGAGAGAGAGACAGAGACTTTACAGGCGGGTCTTTAAGGCTCGCGGTCTTACCTGGTGTTAGGATTCCTGGGTTTGTGGTACGGTATGCAGGGTTCGGGTTTAGAATTTATTATCCGGGGTAGGTTTTAGAGCATCAGGCTTTTCTCAAGAGTTAAGGGTTTCAGTATGAACCTTTACTCATGCTTAGTAAAGCATTGACACATTCCCCGCTCCAAAAAGTCCACAAGCTCCCGTGAAACATGGACGCTGTCTGCAAAGTCTCTTCCCCCACACCTCCGACCCGAAAGCGCTAATCATTGGCCCTAATCCCCACCCTCGGAACCTGCCTCCTAAAGCCTTAAACCAAAGCAAAATCACATCGCGAACCCGGAGACTCGACACCTCAAGCCACCCAACCCCTTGTCAAGTCCTTTTTTCAATCATACCCATGCCTCCAAGAACGCTAAACCGCAAGCCCCTGAAACCCTAAAGCCCTAAATCCCTGAAGCGCTGTCTGAAGTACGCCTGCCCGGGTCTGGGTCGGCTGATGTAGGAGGTGGGTTCACCCTAGTTTTTTCTGGTTCTCCTGCAGGGTGACGGCTCTCTTGGAGGAGTTGGAGTTGGTGTCTTGCTGAGCCCGCACGCGAGCCGCGCCTGGCGGCAGGCAGGCTCTCCTTCGCGGAGCTGGCCGTCGGGTCGCCTGTTGCGCGTCACTTTGCAAGCTGCTGATGGGCTCTGGCACGTCGGTGCCATTTATGGCCCGACTGCTCAACAGACTGAAGCCGTGAAGAATCAGTTTTTGGATAATTTTCAAGAGTTAATGCGCGAGACTCCAGCACGCGAACCACTGTTCGCAGTGGGCGATTTCAACGCTAGAGTCGGCCGACGACTTCCGCCCTAAAACCCTAAATCCCTAGATCCCTGAAGCCCTGAAGCCCTAAAACCTTAAATCCCTAAATCCCTGAATCCCGAAATCCCTGAAGCCCTAAAACCCTAAATCCCGAAATCCCTGAAGCCCTGAAGCCCTAAAACCCCAAATCCCTAAATCCCTGAAGCCCTGAAGCCCTAAAACCCTAATGCCTGAAGCCCTGAAGCCCTAAAACCCTAGATCCCTAAATCCCTGAAGCCCTGAAGCCCTAAAACCCAAAATCCCTAAAGCCCTGAAGCCCTGAAGCCCTAAAACCCTA